CCAATCCTCGAGGTAATGCAATACGAGGCCGACCCGTGGACGGGGTTGAGCAAGCTCACAGCACCCGTCCGGAGGTGAAAAATACAGGTAATTTCATTGGTCTCAGTTTAGAGACCGTTGCAGAAATTACACTGCAAAGAACAGATACTACACATGATCTTAGCTCAGAGAGCCGAGAAGCGATAAGCATGCACCGAACAAACACCACATCAATGCATCACTCGCATACATTGCACTCACTGCATCATTTGCAAGCATCACTCAGTCACAACACTATACATTCACATCATCCAACATCTCACCACTTCATCCACTTCCTTTCATCACTCCACACTATACAAACCACTTGCCACATCCACCTCAATTTGACAAATAGCAAAATCACTTCAACTCTACTACACACAAACAACACGCCTCATACTACTCAATTCAAAATACAACTACTTATTGCATTATTACTCACAACATCATATCTATCCACACAACTGTCAGTGTACGCGCTGACACGTATATATGTGCACAATCCTTGATTCACTCTCACCTACACAACAACAAAACCATTACCGCTACCAAAACACATTTGTGAAGTGAAGTGAAGTGAAGTAAAGTAAAGTGTACAGTGTAGTTGGTGACATTGTGATTGTGGCGAATGGATTAAATTGATGTTGATTTGATGTTGATGTTGATGATGTATGAACCGGTGGATTGATCGACGTACTGACGGACAGACTTTTTTCCGTGTTTTTTCTTTGATTATTGCGTCCTCGTTTTGAAGCCTTTCCTTGTTTTGTTTATGCTTACTGGTTTTTCGTTTTGTTGTTGTTATCGATCTTTTTTTCAATCTTTTTTATCTGTAGTTCTTCCTTTTCTGCTCTTTTTGATTTTTAATCTCATTTTCTATTGGCTGAATTTTTCGACTAATTTTATCAACCAATCATGTTTATGATTGCCTGGTTTGACCTGCAATCTTTCAAGTTTACCTTTTTTTTATTAATTTTGTTTAGAATTTACATTGTCTCTCTATATCTCAGTTGTCTATCGTATTTCGTGCATTATCATGAAGTACAAACAGATGCTGTCCAAACATATTAATCTTGAGACACGGCAACACATGGACTTGATCTCTCTAAATCACACGACAATCGACAGCAACAAACAGTCATTACAACTGGAATGCCACACAAACTCACTATTAAAACCTACCGAAAGTCTAACTTTAAATCATCCATTACATCCTTCGATTACTCGTGTTACGGAGTCATTAGTTTTTGTAACAGAAAATAAATTAAAGGGAGATATTCGGGCGTTTACTACTCAGAATACCGAAACTAGTATTTTTCAAGTGAATGCAGGTTCACAATCACCATCACGTAACTCAAATATAACTAATAAATGTCAGATAAAATTAAACACTTTATCAAATCCTCCTAAAATTAGAAAAAGTAAGTTACTAAATACTATCTTTATATAATTATTAAATGAGGATTTATAATTTTTCTCTCCGTTAAGTCTATTACTATTCTATTTTAAAAAATTTTGACCCCGGTCAGTATTAAGACATATGTGTCTCGGTGTTTAATCAAAAGAGTTTGAAGATTCTAATAATAATCATAAGTCCATTCAATCATCTTTAATATGATGCATAATCATTCACAGAACTAAACCCATTTGATGTCATAGAGAATTGTACATACGTACTTGTTCGAAAATATTCGATGATGTCATTATTAATTAATTATACAGGTTTCTAGTAGTAGACGATGTATGTTGCAATTTTTAATTTTCGGTCTAACTCATCACCAAATTATTCAATGCATTAGGCTCAGTAGTAATTCGATATTCTTTTTAATTTATTTTCGTTAAGAAATTTGAGAATTAAATGTAATCATCTCAACAAGTGTTATTCGAAACTATATAAATGAGTTTGGATTTAGTAGTTTGTATTACATTTTCTAAAAACTACATTATAAAAGGACTTACAGTTCCACTCGGTTTCGGTATTCTTATTGCTTTGCAATATTTTTCCTTCAGCGTTTAACATAGAATATTGTCTACTAATTCTCTCATGTTTGAATAGTTAATCGTTTAATTTGTTCACTTCCTAATAATCACTATTAGAGCCATTATCAATGTTGTCAAGTCTTGAGTGGGCTAAGTACATTCAAACAACAATAACGTCTGAGACAGTCCATATCAGGACAAAGAGAGGGAACATTCTATTCACTCGTAGGTATCTGAAAGCTTTCCCGAAGACATGTATTCTAAATGACTTGGTGTAATGTGCATCAATATAATTGCACAAGTAGTTTTGTGACACCATGGTTAGCTGCATAGACTGACTGACTGGAATGACTTGATGTAATAAAGCATCTTAGTCCGCGTCGTATCATTACAATTCACCTGTTTTTATTTAACTAAAAATCCATAAAATGAAAGAAGCTTTCCATGATGTCACGTAACTACTTGTGTAATGGTATTAGTAATTATCATGGTTATTGAATAACACGACATCATCCGTATGTGCAGGTATTCAAAGTTCATCACACAATTTCTATCATACTTGTCCTCAAGTTTCTTGAAATTCTGATCATTAGTGCGTAGGTTCGTACCTCTAGTTATCGGATTAGCATTCGTGGTAACTTAAAAGATCTTAGCTTTAGAGTATGTCTATGTAAATCAATGCGTTAATGCTAAAACTGTATATATGACCTGCTTTTACCTATATATATAGGGAGAGAGATATGGACACACACTTGCTGTGACCTTAATCATATTACTAGGTCAAAGGGCATCAGACTGACTAACTAAACTCAGTTCCATATACGTTTATATGTATACGGGTAGTGTACATAGAACAATACAATTTTTCTTTTTCAATCTGTGTTATTCAAAGAACATTATGAAATATTTTACTTTTAATAGTTTGAAGAAACCCATAGACGGGGTAATAAAAGCACAAAGAATTTTACTTTTTAATACAAAATTCGATCGGAAACGTGTCAACATTGGTCAGTGAGCGTGGGTATGCATATATACACACATACAAGGGATTTAAAACGCGATAAATAAATTTTTATTTAATGTCCCCTTAGATCATAAGGACTAAATAATAATAAGCAACTGTCTGATTAAAACATCTTAGCTTTCGGAAGTTCAAAAATATGCAAAATAAAAACAGACCAAAAGTAATAGTTATTGAACACATGCACTCTTCCTCAATATACTGCTTTATTATTATTATTATTATTATTATTATTATGGATTATTCAAAGTTTATAGGTGATTGTATATATAATCAGCAGATCCATTTTCTGTGCAATTGATTTAAGAAAGTTACTAAAATATTATTAAACTATATATGAAATTAGTTTATGCATGTAAAGATTTAGATATGAATTAACTTCTAACTTAGTTTATAGTTAAATTCTAAAAGCCTCTTCTTAAATCAATAATATATTAAAAGCAATCAGTCTATTTGCTTCATTTAGATAACTCTATAAGAAGACAAAGTTTGTTATAGTTATGGTATGCAAGTAATTGTACACATTCATCATGAAATTAATTGGAAAATAGTGTTCATCATAATGTCACATATGTTAATAAACTATAAGGATGAAATTTAGTATTCCACTTCTCTAGCTGTAACGTAGAAAGAGATCAAAATATTACGAGCCTGATCTGATCTAGCAGTGATGAACGTATATTTTTGATAAGCTGTTTTATCGTGCAAAACACCTACATAAGGCTTTCTGGTTTTCAGTTGTTCTCTATTTAATTTCAGTTCGTTATTAAAACTATACTCGAGGCGCAAAATCAATTTCTTTATCTGTAATTCAATTAGAAAAAGTTCCACTTACCGTGTTCCAAATTAAATACAACGTTGTTTTTATATTTTTCACATACCTATGGTGATCCTACAACAGTTAGCATGCGATATTTAGTATTCAATGTCAGTACTCGAAATTTTGTATAAACTATATTCTGGTACTTGAGATTTTAAAGAAATAACGGTATAACTAGATTTGAGAGAAGCTGTCACACCTGTCAGTTACCGAATTCATCTAATTATCAATGTTTGGCACTGTTAATAATAAACTACTTTGACTTGGGCTCAGTGAAATATCACTGAACCTACATCATGCTGAGATTGGCGTGTATTAAACAATTATTTTTACTTGTTTTTAAATCTAATAAATGTTAAGAGTATGCCGTTTAGTTTGGTGATAGTCTGACAATCGTTACCTTGACAACAAGCATAATAATATTAAGTGTTATGATTATCGTCAGTCTACATCACAATATTTTAACCTCCAACTCTACATGATCAATTGAAATTCAAACAGCCTTCTAGTCTCTCGTTAACTTATCTCAAAAGTTTAACCAGTACGTCTTGTACTAGTGAACGCAAAAGGTTATGTGTATCTGAAGAATCGGTATCACCAAAACCAAGTAAACATGGGAAAAGTAAAACTTAGTCAAAACTTTCTGATATATGGTACCCAGTGCAAAGTTCTTGGGCAGTTAGTTTTCTACTACGTGAACCTCGCAACGAATTTTCTCACTTCATATTCATCTATTCTCATTTACTATGGTCTAAAATGTAGTATCGAGTTATGCCCTGATTATTTTACATAGTGGGCTAAACATTGTTCCAAACTTTTCTGAATATCAGCTACTTTTGGTAATGGTCACCATATTTCGCGGAATTGTATATTCAGGGGCTCGATATTATTATTTATTTATTTATTTATTTATTTGAACACATAAATATTGGTACAAGAGAGCGCCAATATATATGCGCCACACAAAACAATGAAAATTCGAAGAGAAATAGAAAAAAAAAACTAGGGAACGCAAAAGAAAAAGAGAACAATGACGAAGAGATTGGAGTAAGGTAGTGTGGTAGTAACGACGGAACGAAAAGGTACAATCAGAAGAAATCTTTCAGGTAAAGGAGACACAACCACTTTTTAGAAAGAAAGTAAAAGAAGGTTACAGCAGGATCGCCACTGGCTTCTATTCTGAGCCATATCTGATAACGTCTCTAGCCACTGTGTAGCACCATCTCTCGGACCCCAACCAGGGAGTCGTGAAGGACCAACACAAGCCAGTCCTTTGCAGCTTTCTTTCATGCCACGACACCATGTCATGCACTGACCACCTCTCCGCCTCTTCCAACCAGTCCCAGAGTCGGCAAATAATGCACGACGTGGAATTCTCTGGGACGACATTCGGAGAACATGTCCAAGCCACCGAAGTCGGTGTTTCAAGATGGTGACACCAATTGAGTTATCATCTCTGTGCCCGAACACACGATGCCGAACCTCTGCATTACTGACATGGTGTTGCCACTGAATGTCAGCAATCCTTCGGAGACAGCGATGATCGAACACAGAGAGTCGTCTAACGTCCTCAACTCGGAGAGGCCAGGTTTCACAAGCATAGAGCAAAACTGCTCTCACCGACGCGTTGTAGATCCGACCTTTTACAGCCAGACTAACATCACGAAGGCGCCAAAGGTGGCCCAGATTGGCATAAGCCGCTCTGGCTTTCACTATTCGTGCATTGATCTCATCACTCACACCCCCACCAGCACTTATGCAGCTACCCAGATACACGAACTTCTCAACTACGTCTATCTGCTCACCGTCCAGGGTGAGTACAGGATTAGAATCCTGCCAGTCTTGTAGAAGTACTTTGCACTTCGAAGGTGCAAAGCACATACCATACCTACGGACACTGATTGCCAACTGATTAAGTGCGGATTGCATGCCTTGGGCATTATCGCACAGTAAGACAATATCGTCCGCATACTCAAGGTCGAGAAGTCTTTCTCCAGGCAACAGATCCACACCACCATTACTTACATTCATCAGAGCTGTTTCCAGAATGTCATCGATGGCAAAGTTGAAGAGGAATGGTGAGATTGGGCAACCCTGCCTAACCCCACTGCTCGAATGGAACAATGGAGAGAGGTGGTTGTATGCCCTCACTCTGCCTGAGGTGTTTTTATACAGGGCTTTCAGGATGTTAATAAACTTCTCAGGCACACCCTTCTTCAATAGACAATCCCAGAGAACAGTCCTGTCCAACGAATCGAAGGCAGCCCTGATGTCAAGAAACACTACGATTGTTGGCCTTTGAAAAGTATGGCGGTGTTCTAACATTTGGCGGAGGGTGAAGATATGATCAATACATCCTCGACCAGAACGAAACCCAGCCTGCTCCTCGCGAGTCAATCTTTCTCGGGTTTTGAACAACCTACGAAGAATGACGGAAGCCAATAGCTTGGACGCAATCGGAAGTAAACTTATCCCCCGATAGTTGTTACAAGAACGACGTGAACCCTTTTTAAAGATAGGGACAACTATCGACTCATTCCATGACGTTGGTACACACTCTAGTTCCCAAACCTTTGTAAACAACGTCGTCAATTCCTTAGTCAAAAAGTCACCACCATCTTTAAAAAGAGCCGGAGGTAAGTCATCTGGGCCAGGTGATTTGTAACGCTTCAAGAGTTGGAGTTCCTTGCGGACTTCCTCCTCATTTGGTGGATCAGTCGTCACCGGCCATGGAGGGCAGGACAGTCTGACCGATGTTGCCGGAGCAGCAGGCCAGTTGAACTGCCCTTCGAAAAATTCTGCCCATCGTCCAAGACGTCGATGGATGTTAGTGATTGGCATCCCATCATCCTCGCAGATTGTTTCACTCACACCAGACTTCTTGCTGCCAGTGGCTCGGATGAGCTGGAAGAGCTTCCGGTAGTTACCAGATGCAGCTGCTGCTTCCAGCTCATTAGCACGCATCGACCACCAGGCTTCTCGGTCCTTACGCAAGCTTTGCCCAATCTCCTTACGTAACATCCTTCGTTTATGGTCAAACTCACGGTCACCCGGAGTAGACCGACGGGCTTCAATGAGTTGTAAGGAACCAGAAGAAACCCAGTGCTTAAAGCGGGACGTTTCGCAAACCCACAACTGACTGTTCCCGCCATTTTCATGGCGTCATGCAATTGCAACCAATGCTCATCTATACTTTTCGGTGGAGTGGTAGCTAGCCTAGAGGCTAGCTCGGTTCGATACTTACTTGCAACAGAAGTTGCAACCAGCTTGCTAACATCAATCCGTTGATGGCGTTCACTTCGTTGTCCACTGAAAAGTAAGGCAAGATTGGCGCAGACCAAGGCATGGTCAGAGTCCAGATAGGTACTCCAAAAGGAGCGGCAGTCTTTTACACAACCACGCCAGCGGTAGCTGATCGCGATGTGATCAATCTGAGTCCAGGCTTGAGATGCAGAGGGAGGACGCCAGGTGGCACATCGGCGATGACTGTGCCGAAAGTTAGTGCTAGCCAGAAACAGGTTGTGGTCTGTGCAAAGTTGCAGTAGACGGTCCCCGTTATCTGACCTGCGACCAACGAGTCCCCATCGGCCACCTAAACGACTCTCTTCTGTGCCTAGACGCCCGACCTGAGCATTCAAGTCTCCGGCTAGTACTACAATATCTGTCGAACGCACTTTCTGGAGAAGAACTGATAACTGGTGGTAAAACTCATCCTTGATTGCATCCGGGCTGCAATCTGTCGGGGCATAGGCGGAGATGACGAAAAGACATCGTTTCTCACGCCGATTTCTTCTCACTTTGATGGAACTTTCTAATCTAACAGCACATAACCGACTGTTAATGGGGATCCAATCGACTAGTGCTGCCTCAGCTCTAGCGCTTAGTGCGACACCAACGCCAGCAAGACCAGACGAAGATGCCACAGGGTCCCCGGATAAGCGCACGTAAAACAAGCTTTTCGAAGCGACAGATGGAGATCGAATTTGTAGTACTTCGCCAGAGTCTTGAATACGGGTCTCGGATAGACAACACACGTCGATATTAAGACTTTCCAAAGACATAGCCAGCCCTATCTGTTGTCCGACCTGCATAAATGTGCGAACGTTGAAGGCAGCCAGTTTGAATGGTGCACGTGGTTTCAGAAAATCTGCTTCAGTCCTCGTATTCGGTGGTAACATACAATTTTCAACCGGACAGTGACTCGAGAACGTATAGATACAGTCGGATTTCCGCCAAAGACGAGCCGCTGTATAAGTATAAAAGAGGGTGAGTAATGTGGAAAATAATAATAATAATGATAATAATAACAATAATGACAATAATACTAGTAATAATAATAACAGTATTAATAATGACAATAATTGTAATGATAATAATCTGAATCAATTGTTTGTTTTTCAAAGCAAGAAAGGTAATTTCCGTAGGCATAAAGAGTTCATCAATTTGTGTGTGGGCTGTGATACTGCCCGGGTGCCCAAACCGAAGCAGGTGGTTATCTTAGGGGGCCACTCCCCGAGCCTTTGACCTAAAGGTCTAACCCACAAGGCAGTGGAGCATCGTAAGGAGATGCAGTCCCATGGTAGCCGGTGACCAACGATTGGTTCATACGCCATTCGTTCCCGCAGGATACTGGAGCCCATGTGCACCATTGATTTGGAATCCGGTTAAAGCGCCGGACATTCGCTTTTCGTCCTCTCATTTTCGTAGACAACACCCCCGCCACGAGAAGGCAATGAGTAGGACTTCCCTGGCAGAGGCTGTATACGCGTGGCCGTGTGAGAGTATTTCGAGAGGGAGAGCGGACTCTCCCCACTCTCGGCCGTACCAGGGCATTCTGGGGGGTTTGATCCAATCTTGATCACATTACATGTTTTTTTAAAGTAGAAGACTATGTATGTGTATGCTAATTTAGTCAGTGAAATCTATTTACTGGTACGTTTTTTCTTTGAGAATCATCAGCTAGATTTACTTGCATCACCATGTTGATTTTCACGTTGAGACCCCAACCCAGTACCTTTAGCTCCAAATACCCAATACGTTATGCACTTAGCTATCAAGCTCAGACAGCTACTGGTTTTTGCAACAGAGATGAATTTTATTTCATTTTTTCAGGGATTGGTTCGACCAATTTGTCCTGGCACATGTGCATCATGTGCTGTTCTGATTAGAAGGTTTACCTATTGTCTCATTAAACATACTGAACTTTATCTATTTAACCTTTTTAAAACCTAGATTCTTGTATCTGATTAGTCGGTTGCACAAAGAATAATAAAATGTCTGACCTTAATGAGATTTCTTCTTTTTTATTATTGCTTTTCCTAGACAGAGAGGTGAAGGTTATATTAGACTAAATAAATCATTCATCATTTGTCTGAAGTTTTAATAAATAAATTGAGTTCTTTTGTATACTCAGTATTATTTGGACAAAGAGTTTTTATTTTAGAAAAAAATGTATATACCAAGCTAATAAAACTTCTATTTTCTATGACTCATTAAATGATCGAATTAAATTTTCTAGTTTCTATTGTATATTTTTAGTTATATAATTGATTATTACCTGCTTCGGTTTGGGCACCCGGGCAGTATCACAGCCGTCACACATATCGAATGAGATTTGTGTGGCGCATATGTATTTGGTGCCTCCTTGTGCCAATATCTTTGTGTTAAAATAAATAATAATAAATAAATTGATTATTATATTGACTATATTGATCTATTTGGATGAATTCATCGTATATGGTGATTTGTTTTACATAATTAAAAAAAATTTATCATTTCATGAAGAATAAAGAGTTTCGTTATTATTTTTTAAATATATACGATTTCCCTGTATGATTGAAGTATAAACGTAAAACTAAATCTATGGATAATGAATTTCATTTAAAAAAGACAAAACAGAAAAGAATATTATAATTGAATATGTGACTTATGTTTTTGTGTTCTTCTCACATATTAAATAATTAATCTGTTAAATGAATGGACACATTTTTCAACATTAAATACTTGAAAATGATCGTTACAGCTTTTTGTATTATTTGTAAAAAATAAAGTGTTTTACAGATTTCTAAAAATCTATCTCTGACCAGTGATATTTTGTGAATAAAATTGTATGCATAATTTACAGCGTGATTAACAGTTAGGCGCATCACTTTTGTCACTTATACTAAATCTGTTAATAAAAAAAGAACCGTTTAAAAGAACTATATTAAGTATTGATACAAATGAACATGGATTTCGATAGTATAAGAAAATGTAGTCTTTATCTTATAAGCTCTATACTCTGTCTATGGAGGTAGGAACCTGCCTAATTATTCAAATCCTAATTTGAGTTCAGTCATGAAATTGTTATGTCTAATAATCGTGGAAATAAGATGTGCACAACAAACAACATTTACTCTTCTGACAAGTTGTTTTGTAATTTCACCTTGGTTAATAGTAAATTTTATTATTTTCATTGATGTTTACGCGTACATAGTCTTATGGACATTAGTTAATGAAGAGTTCAATGTATAATACATATCATCTGATCTATGTACATTTTAATATATATGGCTAATTATTTTTCGTTTACTATAGGAGAACCTTACATCCCAAGTTATATGGATCCGTTAGCTGGCCCTGAACCTTGTGTTGTTTGTGGTGATAACGCAACTGGATTTCACTATCGTGCTATGACATGTGAAGGTTGCAAAGGATTTTTTCGACGTTCAGTACAGAAAAAATTGGTTTATACTTGCAAGTTTCAAGGTCACTGCTCTGTATCTGATAAACAAAATCGAAATAGTTGTCAAAAATGTCGCTTTGATAGATGCATTAGCGGCGGGATGGCTAAGGATCGTAAGTAACATTTAGATTTATCTATATCTTCTCATCTTCAACTAATTGTATGTAATTATTATTCTTATTGTTTTATCATACTAATCCACACGGGGAATTCGGTCGATAAATTCATAATTTATCATATCACAAAATTATTAACTTGAGTGGTAATTTTTATATGTAAGTCTATAAGCCATAGGTCAACTTTTGTTTTTCATAAGTTTAAACCTATTTTCATATTTCATGCGTCTACAATATGAAAATCAGGCGTGTTTTATCTGAGGTCATATGATTATAATTAATCGATGGCAGTTTATACTAGTGTGTAGATGTATACATACATATACAAGGTCACTATCATCAAATTATATATATATATATATATATATATATATATATATATATATATATATATATATATATAATTTTATCAGTTATTGATAATAAAGCCTGATGTGACCAAGCGAATTCTGGCTTTCATATGTGTACACTTAACTGTACGTCAATTAACTATAACAATAACCATAATCTCGTCTTTTTCGGAGAGATGAAATGCATTATTATACGCATTTTTGAATAAAAAGTTGGGTGAATTAATCCACAGAATTATTTAATTTGCGCATTAGCTGGAGGGACTGTTTATCATAATACAGTGCACACAGCTTCGATGTTTAATATTCTCATGATTAAATTATGATGTAACTGAATACAAGTTCAC